ACGGAATGATACTATACGAAATATTATTATGTTGATCTCAGTTGTATAGATGATTGTAGTACAATCATGAAAACGGGAAACAAAGAATATCATGTGCTGTTATGTAAAATTAATTGGTATTTAATAAAACTTAATGATAATAAGATGTGCGTAAGCGTACACACAATATTTAAACACAAAATCGTGGTAGATTCTTTTCACATTTCTTTTAAATATTGCTGCAACATTATTAAAATAATGTTGCAAATCTATATTTTAACAATGTTTCTGAAGCATTGCATTGCAATATGCAATGATGCAACTTTGCTGCAATATTGCTGCAAGCTTCTGTGCTGTATGGGTTCTTGTTTTATATCTACCATAAATTTTCTAGCATTTAGTATACCATTTTCCTTATAAGTGAGTTTTTCTTCGAATGAGACGTTCTCAAAACTGTACAATGATTAATTTTCGAGTCCAAAAAATGTTGCAACATTATTGAAAATTTATCTATTATAATTACAATTTGGATGAAGAAACAGTTTTGACTCGATAAGTCAAAACTGTCCCATCATTAAAATAAAATCTAACATTATTTTTATTTTTATGTGATATCTATTTTATTGGTTGTCTTGGCTCTTTATCTGATTTGTCTCTTTTATTGTTGAAAATATTTTATTATGTTCAGATTAATATATAATATATAATATAAATCCAGAAAATTTTGATTTGAATTAGATTCACATAGAAATTAAAAAGATTCGATTCAATTACATTTCATATAAGGATTTAATTTGATTCGATTTCGATTTGAAATTAACAAAGATTTGATTTGATTTGATTCGATTTTACCACGCAGATACTTAATTCACATACTTCTGTTATGTACTTACCAATACAATTTCTAGGCCCATCACTAAAAGGAAGGTAATAATATGAATGATTATTCATTTTGTCTGGAAGAAATCTGTCTGGATCAAACTTCCATGGATTCGGCCAATAATTTTTATTGCGATGCATCAACATTGAATTTATGATGATATTAGCGCCTTTTGGTAAAATAAATTCTCCTAAAACATATATTTTTATTTGTACCCATAGTTTAATATCAAAATATATTAAACATTATAAGATATTCAAAAATCTTTAAAAACATTATTGTAAAATGATTTTGAAATTATATTTTATTTTAAAAAGAATTGTTTCTATTTTTCTTAATTTTAATATTTGTTCGGAAAAAAATAAAAGTTGTTTTTTATAAAGAATATTTTATTTTATTCTAAAAGTGCGCGTATTAGAAAAAAACCTCTATTTTGATCTAGATTTCAAAATAAACTAATATAATAAATACTATAATAAATACTATACTATAATAATATAATAAATACTATAAATTCATCAAAATCGAAAGAAAACATTCTATATGTTTTTTTGTTAATGACATTGTTTTAGCTACTTTTAATATTTTAATTATTAATTCATTTTCTAATTGAAATATTAAATACATTTTTATTAAAATGAAATATACTTGAATAAAAACTAATTTTGCTGTTTATTTTTTAATTATAATTTTCTTATTATTTATCGTTTTAAAAAATTTCATAAGGAACTGAAAAGAAATATCAGTATTATCAGAAATGTACGAACCCATCTTTACATCTTTTGTTGTCTTCCGTCCAGTTATAGGTACAGTAGGAAAAATTGTCATAGTTTCTTTGATGACACATTCCAAATAACTCATATATTGTAAATCCTCATATTTAATTGGTGCTGATTTTAAATTTTCCGTACCATAAATTTTTAATAATTCTTTATAGAGTTTATTCTTTTGAAATGAAATTAAATAAAGTATTTATTTACAAATATATATACGATATAATACAATATAGACTTTAAATTGATACCATTCTGATTAAATCGAAGTGTAAAATACATACATGTATAAAGATTAATTTAAACATTTGCAAACTTTTATTTACATTTTAACTATAGTTTTATTTTATTTTTAAATAAAATATTGATGATCATGTAAATCGATAAAAGGATGCATGCCACTTAACAAACTATTTATTATAATTAAATTATTAGCTCATTGGATTAATATATATTATTATTAGTTTATTGGCTTAATTTTTTTCTTTCGATTATTAAAAACATATTTTCTATGTTTTAGAACTATATTGTTTTCTCTATCTAATAATAATAAATTTAGCAGATTTAATTGTCTTATTGTTAGAATGAATTTAATATATGTATACATACTTGTATTTCTGGAAAATTTGATAATATAAAGATCACGAAATATAATGTCATACTGGTCGTATCAATGGCCTATGTACACATAAAAATTTATTTTATTTATTTTATTATAAATATGATGTGCCAATTTATCATACGTACCGCAAATATTATTGTAATTATGTTATCACGAATAGTCTTTTGAGTGAATCTTCTTTGACATAATTCTTTCATTACATTATCGCAAAAGATTTTTCCTATATTATATAAAAATATGTGTATATATAAAACAGTTAAATACTTTATCGATATTGTACTGTTAACGCTCTACATCGACGGGGTAACCACTCAGAAAATATATGTACACCTGGACTTCTGACTTCAAGACTTCACCGGACTTCACGGACTTCATCAGACTACACTGGAATTCATCGGACTATACCGGAATTCACCGAACTACATCGGAATTTATCGGACTTCATCGGACTTCGTCAAACTTCACTAGACTTCTTTTACGGATATGGTTGCCACTTTTCGCATCTTCGTCACGAAACACCAACAAAATTTTTCGACAAACTTCCAGACAAATGTTAATGTCCGGACAAGGGCAAAACTTTCAAAAAACTCGATCAAACTGATGACCTTTTTTTAGGTATTGAACTACATTTTTATCAGACTACATCGGACTTAAATGCACTTCAGCGGATTACATCAGACTTCAACGGAATTCACCGGACTTTACCAGAATTCATCGGACTTCAAGGAATTCAATGAAATTCTGACAGGTTGTACACCGAAATTTAAGAATGGTTATCCCCTTGCTCTATATACGATTTGTATTAAAAATTGATTTCAAAAAGAAATTTAAATAAAAAATCGGAAAATTTTAACAGTAAAAAAAGAAACATTGCATTTTAATAATTAACTTAACAAACGTTTATAAAATAACTTATTGTGCGATCATTTTACAAACATTACAATATTATAAGGTATAAGAGTTATATTAAATACTGATGTACTCACGAAATGTATTACTATTAGTTTTCGTTGCATCCAATTTATTTATTTCACGTATTTGTTGTTATGTAATCTGTATAATAATAAATTTTATAATAGTAAACATTAATACAGGAAAACATAATTATTATACATACCTCATCAATGAAAGAATGAAAGGTTTTCAGATGATTTCGCTGTTCGCGTCCCAAAGCAGTAAAATTAAATATAATATCAGACAATAGAAACGGATTTTGCAGTCTGTATTTAACAATTTCTTTGATTCTGTAAAATCATTTCTTTAATTTTGAGATTCTATAGAAAGGCTATCATATTTTATCAAATCATAACTTGTTGATCGTGATTACCATATACATATGTTTTATAAGTGCTATTTAAACAAATATCATGTTTTATTAGTTACCTTATATTAAATTTATTAATTCTATTTATTTATAACAAAAGTTTTACTTATTAATTGACAAATTTATCAAAATTTTTTATCACTTAAATTCTCAGAAAATTGTAAAGCTTTCATTCAATATATACATATATTTTTTTGTTTTTGACATATGTTATCAAATCTGAAGACAAAGATCTAAATGTAAAATGATAAATCCAACAGAATAAAAGTTAACAGAATTTTTAAATCTGTTCTGCCATATTGAACTTTACCACCATTTTGAATTTTACAGGTTCAGTAGCAAACATTAATAATTTAAGGAAACTTACCTCAAAAATGCTTTTGTAAATTGATCACTTTTTCCCCAATCCAGCTTGACACCCATTATAGTATCTTTACAACAGCATAAAAGAAATCTATTATTCAAAATATTAATCTGTGACTGATTAACTACTAAATATGTTTTTATATGTATTAACCAGTGGTGTAGTCCTAAAAATAAAAGTGCCCTGGCGGTACTTGAAACGTAATAACAGAGAAGGGAGTGGTGATAAAAATATACATATTATTTATCATATTTTTATGCATTAAAAATTTATTAAAAACTAAAAGTTTTTGGTATCTTTCTGGAAAACAAGCTTGAGATATTACATGCATTATTGTAATATAAATTTACGTAAAAAGAGCCCACAATTCTTTTTTATCGCTCTTATCTTCCATTACATGGAGAGCATGTCTTGACCGCAATTTATTTGCAAAGTAATGTGTTAATACCAACGTTTTACATATGGTAAGGGATTAAATTTGTACAATGGTAGTCCATTTAAGTGAAATGAAAAAAAGAGATGACACAACGTACAAAAAGCCCATTGGGAGTCGGCGTAATAATATTATTCATAGAGCTAAAATTTCGTTCGCATTCAACGGTACTACACGGCAATGATATAATGCAATTGA